GGAAAGAGCGAGATAGGGAAGATCCTCCATCGAATGCTCGTTTCTCTGACTTGGCGCTATTGCGGAGCCTCGCCAGGCGTAAAATAAGATAATGGCGCCCGAAGCTGACGATCATCGTGGGAGATGAAACACCTGCGAGCTTCCGCGGTATGAGATAAAAAAAAATGGAAAAAATAGTCTGGCATGCAAGGCCATGGCTCAAGTCCTTCATCGAGAGTCGAACAGGACGAGCATCAAGGACGGGCACGAGGAAGATTTTCTTCGAGGGCGGAAATGTTGCTGGCGTTGGTGAGGAGGGGACGACAACGGAGCGGGTGAGGCGGGCAGGGGTTGGGGATCTGACTGATGTTGCTTTTTCCACTCGAAGCGAACGTTTGCACGCTTCGCTCGTTGAATGTTCACTTTTAACCACGCGTGGAACATTGTTTGTCACGCGGTCCTTCATTGCCTCTATTTTTCTTAGCTTCGGAACTTTATGGTTGTCCTACCCTTAACGCCTAAATGTCTCCGCGTAAACGAGCGTTTCTAATTTCTGGCTTTCGTATCTCTTGTACGATATGAGCATTGAGCGCCCTGGCTCAAACGACAATGTGTGCTAATTTTTCTAATGAAAATTAATGCCCATAATGAAATATCATTGATCCAATGGATGATTATTTTATGGTTTAAATTGTCTTAAAAGCACGGTAGCTCCTCTACCTCCGATCGATTCCTACCAACGATCTTCAAGGTTCTCGTCGATGCAAAACCAACATAAACGCACCACTTCGAAACGTCTCTGTCTCTGTCTCTGTCTGTCTGTCTGTCTGTCTGTCTGTCTGTCTCTCTCTCTCTCTCTCTCTCTCTCTCTCTCTCTACACACACACACATATATATATATATATATATATATATATATATATATTTCTAGAGTGCAGTCGAGATTAAAAAAGTAAAAAAGAAAACAGCGACGTAGTAGTAGTTGCCGAAATTATTATTGACCGATGTTGCTTAAGGCGCGGATGACAGGTGCAAGGAGGTAGATAAGGTACGAGTGGGATAAGGTCTCGTTGCGGCCAGAAACTCCTAACGAGCAGTTATTAAAATCAGTGCTCGACTAGGCGAGCGGGAGAGCGGCGTGGCGGAGACAAGCCTCCGAAATGCCGGGGAAAATCCTCCGACGCATTGGTCGTTCTCGTCCTATTGGCGGCGCCGATACACTAAGCTCTGCGGAATATAGTGTTAATAGGCAGGGAATGGTTGGGACGCGGGCTACAACACCCCGCTTCTATTAATTGCACTTCACCCTAAATGCAAATTGTTCGAAATTGAGCGAGGGCTCCTCCTCCCGAATATTTGGAAACTCCATTATGCGGAGGGAGGAGAGCGCAAGTGCGAAAGCCGGTTAGGTCCTTTCGGTCTTTTATGCCTCCGTCTTTATCCCTCGCGCGTTGTCGTTGTCGGTTGCGTGCCTGCTGAGCCCATCATCGGCCTCTCTATCTATCGCTCTTTCTCTAGCTACGACAGGGTTGCAAACTACAGGCGGAGCGCAAGCGTGTGGTGAGTGCGACGACGTCGTCGTCGTCGATCATAACGGTGGGAGAATTGAGCGAGCGTGGCTCCTTTATCCCTTCATTTAGCCCTCTCGGTCCTTCTACACTCAACTTGGAGCGTCTCGGTCCTGAGCGCTCCTTCGGCTCTGCACTTTTCTTCTTAGCTGTAATTTCATAAGAATGAGAGTAGCTCTACTTCGCCGTTGATAAAGTTATCAGGGGAAATTCAATGAGTCGATTAACTTTTCTTTCGATGGCGCAATAGATTTCCTTTTTACGCTGATAGGATGGAATTTATCAGTTAGCTTCATTAAAGTTCATTATGCCAGGCTCAATGGAGTAACTATCCGCATAATGAAATTCATGGAACATACAAAGCTTATCTTATTAATTCCAAATAGATTATCGAGGGTAATGTTCTGTTTGGACAGTTTATTGTTCTCGTGTAATTTTATGACGAATCGGTCGTATGAGCGACGCATTAGCTTTATTTTATAACACGTTTGTCGAGAACTTTATTGCCCGCGAATTATATATTTATAGCGAGCTTGAAAATTCGTATTATTGCTGATCGTTTATTATTTATATCGGTAGGAAATTTGAAATATCTTTTGTCGGATACGCTCGTTAATGGAGCTTTAAAACTGTGACTTTTGATTCGTGCACGCACGCGCGCGCACACGCACGCGCGCACACACAAAAATTTTATAAAAGAAAAAAAAACTTAATGCCCGAATGGGTGCACGATTAGATACAAGTTTTTTTTTTTTATTTAACGACTAGTTTAAATAATTTTTATCCAGATAAAGATTTGATTACGAATACTTTTGTAATATTATTATTTAATTATTAACACTCGGGCTATTTGCAAGGATTATAAAATAACTCAGCATACCGATATAATTAACGCAAACGAAATACTTTAGAATCGTATTAAAGAACATCGCCAAAACAATATTCAATTAAAACTTTAGAAATTTGCCTTATAATTGATGATATTAGTAACGAAAAACTATTCGTTTTTAACCGAAAGTTTAATTGATGCTGAAACGAATGTTAATAATTTGAATGAAAATCACACGAAATCCCCTTTGACATTTTAATCTATTAAATAGCGATGATAATGTAAATAATTAGTCTCGTCGAGCCTAGTCAGTCACTTTACTTTTTTCCAGACATTTAAACATAATTGTAAAGAACAAATTGTTTATTAGGGGCGATTAAATGTCAGGCTCGATTTAAATTCCCCGCGAATGTTTGTCTTGTGAAAAGGCAATAAATAGCCGGGCGTCCCTCGATAAATAGAAAATATCGTGAAATTATCCTGAAATAGTATAGCCGGGTCGGGAGAATAGCTAATAGGAAAGTGACTGAAAGCAGCATATTCGGTCATTCCTGCGGGCAGATCACCTATGTTGCTTCTACAAAACAAAAGGTCAACCATATTGAACAGCGTAGCCTGAAAGTGTTTCCGGGATTACAGAATGGCCCGGCAGTGAGAAAAATAGGCAAAGAATACCGGCGGCGATGTGTCTGGCAAGCAACCCTAACATTTACAGCGACGGAGCGTGACGGAGGCTAATTCGCGCTCAAAGGCGGGAATTCGGCTCAACGGAAATGCGCGGGTGGGAGCGCGTCTCACTCACGGCCTTGGTCGATTAGAAAGCGATTTTCTCGCGCTGGATGTGAGAGGCTCACCTTTGGAGAAGGGACGCGCCTGGGACTGCTAAGAGACGAGGGAAAGACAAGTCGAAGTAAAAAGGCCGGGAGTGGTTAAGGTTACATCGACCATTAGACAAATACAATACATTCCGGGGAAGATTGGCTGTCCGTCTCTTCTGAGGTCTGCGGCTCAATTAAGCACTCTTCATTTGGCCGCTTGACTAAAAAGGGTTATTGCTGCTGCTACTTCCACCGCTAAACACAGCTCCCTCCACGCCCCCCCCTCCATCTCCCCCATCCCCATACACCCCCATCCACCCCAATCGCTAAACCCCTCTTCGCCCGACCTCGTCCCTCGCGCCACTCTCTCGCTCTCTGGTATCCCCCTCGAGCATCAATCATGTCGACGGCAACCCTTTTCTCGAGGGCGGTTTTACTCGCCCTCTCTTTCTATTGAAACGAAGTGTTGTGCCCAAACACAAAAACACTTCATTTGGCAGATTAGCTGTTAAATACTGGGGGCGGCCAAGAGACGAGAAATATATAGAAAGTGAGAGAGTGAGAGCAAAACTTGATTGGACACGACTTTTTGCGTAAACTAGTATGCAACGGCGTAGCGACATTGTCGACAAAAGACCTGAAAAAACATGTGTTACATGACTGACAATAGGATATAATCCACAAATTTTTGGCATGCGGTTTTGTCAATCTATAAGGGGAAACAAAGGCTAGTACGTATCCTCGCTTTCCTCCCATTTTTTTTCAATTAGTCTAGTTTGAAATTACCTAATACAATATCTCTATGTTTCTTTTTCTCTTTTATTATTCTCCGACATTTTTAAAGCATGGCTTTTATAAATATTTCTTTATAAATTTCACATAATGGGCTTATATATTTAATTTATGATTCTCATAAGCAAGTCGATTATTATATGAAATACATGTCCAATCTTAAATTTTATTTAAAAGATCGTCGGTAACGACACTGCGCCAAATAACCAATTGGTCATAAAAAAAATTAATTTTTTTTACCAAATTGTTTTAATTTTCTCAATCTCATACAATTAATAGATAAAATCAAGATATTGATACAAATACTTAAGAAAAGGGAAGAAAAATGGACAAGTATGCTTAATAACATAAAAGATGAGTAAATTAAATTTTTCCATCAATCATCAAGTGTATCTATTAATTTTATTTCTTTTTTCTGAAGTATTCTATTGCATAATTGTAATACTTACTTGTAAGATAGAGCAATAAAATCCTTTTGAACATACAAATAACTTATAAATAACTCTCTTTCAATGTAATTCATAACGAGCCATTTGCATAAGCATACGAATCAGTCAGTATTTTTTTCATTCACAAATACAAATACGCGACATGTGTTGTTGTGTATACGTAAAGTATGCCTGGAAAGTCACATTTTTAGACAGTAAAAACCGTGCAATTGAGAATTTTACTGTGAAATAAAAATAACCGTCTATATTTATAGCTTGTTGTAAGATTTTTATGCTATGACATGATTTTTGTCCCATTTGTTGATCGATTGTCGAATCAGAATATAAATAAAAAGTCACATGCCAACATTCCGATCCAATCTCACTTTCACGTTTGCGTAAACATTTACGTAAAGAAGCATTCGCTTCTCGCACTACAGATTCTCGAGCTTCTTTTTCATTTAATAAAGAAGCAAAAGGAGCATTCGCAATTTAGAATATAGAATCGTTAAGATGAGCTGAAAAATCAAATGGCCGGATAATCGAGATCACTTGACAATGGCTCCAAATAGCGCAAATCTACTTTCGAGTGGTTTTCGAATATCTCTTCGTGAGAATCTCAGGGGACCTCGCGTTCGAACTTGGGTGCATCTCATGGATTGTGACGATAACTTGGGCGGGTGCCTTGAAGTCCGTTTGCGAGACGAAGACGCGTCAAGGAGGCCGCGAGACCGCTACGACAATAATTAATAAGGAGAAAGAGACCGCGAGCACGAGAGCGGCAGGGCGGGGGAGGGACAGGGCGGCTCGCCATATCCTTGTTTTAATATTCCGCCGGCGTAACGTCAGAGAGATTCGTGCTTTGTCGGCGAGGGCATTGCAAGGAACTAGATAAAAGTT